GTACCCATTATTAAAGACTTCGATACAAAAATGAAAATTTGTGAATTGGCAAAGAAGTTTGATCTACCGGAATTGTCGGTCAGAACAATTATAAAAGGCAAAGAAAAAATTCTCGAAGCTGTGAAAAATGCTCAATCTTTAAATTCAAGCATCATTCGTAAACGTCACAGTATTATCGCTGAGATGGAAACAATGTTAAAATTATGGCGTAATAATCAAGTAAATGTGAAAAATTGTAAAATAATATAGACCTAATTTGTTATACATATGTATTATCTAAGATTTTATTAAACATTTTTTCTAAATTATTGTTTTGTTTAGTCTCTGGCCCCAACTAAAAATTATTTGTATGTATTTATATGTGAAATTATACCCTGACTTATGCGAATTCAACTTACACAGTTACCGCTCAGTCCCACCTATCGTGTAAGTTTGGGGTATTACTGTATTGTATGCAGATGATATTGTTATAACCTATGCAGATTGGAATTTTCAATTAATTGAAAATAATATAAATTCATTGCTGGTTAAATTAAGTAAATATATGGCAAATAATAACCTTAAAATAAATAAGAATAAAACAAAATATATTTGTTTGTCAAATAAAAACAAAAAAGTAAATTTAGATGATATACAAGTAAGAATTAATAATAAACGTATTCAAAGAGTTGATACTGTAAAATATTTGGGTATTGAAACTGATGATAGATTACAATGGAACAATCATATAAATAATCTAACACTGTCTTTATCTAGATTTATTGGAATATTGAAAACAATGATGAGTTACATAAATTTTGAGACTGTTTTGCATTTATATCACACTTTGATATGGTATTTCTGTATGGGGTACAGCTTCTTCTTTTGTATTGAATAGGTTGCAAATCACACAAAACAACTTTATTAGAACATTATATAATTTTAAAAAATTAAAAAGTCCAAAAAATACTTAAAGTACTCTTTTAAACTAATGAGTTAAAATTACTTAGTTTTTCCCGACTTCAAAGAAACTCAAAACTCACAAGTGGAAAGAATTGAATTCAATAAACACTTCTTACTTTATTAAACTTTTTACCATTTATTTATTTTTTATATATTGACATTATATAAGTTACCTTATAATTCTTCTGTCATATCTTATTATAACTAGACCAATATCAACATATTAAAAGTTTTATATAAAAATCAAGTTCTTTTAGACAGCTTTAAACTAATAAAGATTGACAGGAAAGAATCTTATATAAGTGATGAGTTAAACACTCTAAGCTCTCTAACTACAACTATCAATGAAAAAATAATTTGATTCTACCAAAAGTTAAGCACTGTTTTGGCTGAGATGCACCAATCTACTAATTTATATATAACTGGACTTTATACAATTATATAACTGGAATGCTTTAAAAGAAAAATATAAGGATCTGAGAACTTATGGGCAATTTAAAGAAGATGTTAAAAATTGAACTGTGTCTAGTTTCGTGTATTTTTTTCTTTTTGCTATTTTTTTTTGTTTTGTTGATTGTTTATTTTTTGTATATGTATTTTTTTACACTTGGAAAAGGCCAATAGCCATAGTGTCGTTTAGTTAAAATTAAATTAAATCTTTCAGTAGAGCAATTTTATCAAAATGTCAATATAATAACTTATAGATCAATAAATATCTTTTAAAACTTATTTGGTATGTTTATGCTAACAGGACATCAGTTGATATGTACAGCAACAAGTAAGATTCAAGCTCTACATAAGGAGTTTCGCACCACCCCAAAAAATTGACCCTTTGTGAGATATTTCTCTCCAAAGGTCAGTTTATAATATGTATCAGTATACTGCCTATTCTACATGCTTCGCGTATAGTCATATGTTTTGGTGCTCACTATCACTCGCACCTCAGTGCCCAGGTGGGGAAGCCCCCACAACCCCCAAAAAATATATAACATCAAGCACTCCACAAACAGTCAAGTAGACTACTTGAAGCCAGTACAGTCTCATGAGCTAAATAGTTAAATGCAATAGTCTTAGCAGAGCAACATGGATGACAATATCATGCATCAGATTAATGTTAGAACTGGTGTACTGTTAACAAAAAAGAACCATTTAATATTTAAGTTCAATCAGCAAAAATGGTGTTTTAAACCTATTTTCACCAATTCTGAAATGTGTCTCCAGTTGGAACATAAACTTCAACCTGCATATAATACGGTTCACTTACTTAAGATAACCCGAACATTGCCGGGGGTTAAAGTTTACTTAGGTAGTCCCAATGGCAGTGCTTCGATTAGGTTAACTACATTTTTAGTAGACGTTTCCTTCTTTTTCTCTTGTTCAAGAACTACCATGAACCAATAACTAGTGACGTTAAACAATTGGTGGCCTGCCGGAGGCTTCCCTGAGGGAGGAGTCCGTCGGGAGCATGAGCAGTCGGAAGTGCCACCATTGGGACCACCTAGGTAAACTTTAACCTCGCCGGGTATATTATTAGCTAGTATATTAATAAAAATCAAAAATTTACCGTCTGATGCAAAGCGTTACATATTAATTGCAATTTTTCAACTGTTATATTTAATGGCAGTTCCATAGGAACTCCAAGTGTTTCTCCAGATTCATTTTTAAATTGAGCAAATATTCTACTACAATCTTGTTCTTCTGTTACCTCCATTTTCAAGACGGAATCTTAATATTTATGAAAAAAAAATTTCATAAGGTCATTGAAGAATCAAAATTAATCAGCAAACGATTAAATACTTACTTTAATGAATATTTTGAAAAGTTTATTTCTCAATGATATACGAAATGTCAACACGTTCAACAAAAACACGTGGAAACCACAACCGAACAACAGTAAGTTGCCATCTTGTAACTAAGCGCCCTCTCACGAATATGTTTTTTTATTATACGTGTATAATTTTTTGTTAGAAATGAATACAATTTTAACATTTCCTGAGTTATATTTATTTGTAATTTTTTAATAAGAAATTTATTTATTTATTTAATAAACTTTCATGTATATTTTGATTCACTAAAGGGAACCGGCTGTAGAAAAAAGACTCAATCTATCTCTGTTCTGAAATCGAATAAAAATTAAACGACTTCGTTTGTACGATCGGGAAGCTTGCATCCATTTAATGAAGTTTGTCTATACATATGGATGTTAGTTTAATAGAGAGGTTGCGTCCGACGTTTTCATCGCGAAAACATGAACGTCGGACGTTCAGCGCCGCCTTCCTGTAAGCCTAGAAGTTTGACAATGGCATTTGGAACGTCTATCATGATTCCACTGACGTTCCAAACGCTATTGTCAGACTTCTAGGCTTACGGGAAGGCGGCGCTGAACGTCCGACGTTCACGTTTTCGCGATAAAAACGTCGGCCGCAACCTCTCTAATAGCTCCTGTGCTTTCTGTCGAAACTTTCTGAAATTTTGCAGGGAAGTTTGTGTATTAGGGGATTAATGCTATTAAATTTTGGTGGTTAAGGATTGAGGGGTGGGGAGATAAAATGGATCGTGTGTATCTCCAGTAGGGTCGGACTTAATAACGATTTTACTCGTTATTAACATCTACAATATTTTATAAAACTCATCCCTACTCTAAAAATCAAGCCTTTTGCCATTTTATAATAAGTTAAAACTATAAAAAGTTTTTAATAAACTATGATAAAAAATGATGCCACCGCAATTTTAAATGTTGCCGGGAAAGTTGAGCAACTCGTTCTTGTTTATTTCAATATGCATTGCATCCGGAGCATAGCTATTTAGGGGGGAATTTCGAGTCTGCTTAATGTTTAGTGGGTTTTCACGACAGAAGATTGTCCGTCCTGTCCCATGGGACGGACAAAGTTAAAAAAAATCCATAATAGAAAATTTATAGTCGACTAGCTGTTACCCGCGGCTTTGCCCGCGAGAATTTTGCAAGCAAACCCCATTTATATTCAGTACAGTAATAACCCGAACTTACGCGAAAGGTGGGACCGAGCGATAACCGCGTAAGTCGAATTCGCGTAAGTCGGGGTATAATTTCGCAATTTGTGTAAAATCCAAGTCGGATGTATGTAAGCCAATAAATGTTCTCATTAATCTTATCTCGTCTTTTGATTCGCTCACGGTTACAAGAAATCACCACATAGAGTTTCTCAAGTCTCCGTAGATATAACAAACACAGAAATAAATAACACAAAATAAATTGTAGCTATGTGTCGATTCCGCGCGACACGTCCGAACATGTAAGCTGAACAATAGTGTGGGGGGAGTGAGTAATCAAGAGCTGCGTGGCGTTCAAACAAAAGACGAATCGACGAAATTTGAAAATCGCGTATCTCCGGGTTCGCGTAAGTCGGGGTAGCATAAGTCGAGGTATTACTGTATTTCAACAACCATAGTAATTGTTATATAACACTTACCGCTGAAAATGATGAGAATTGCCGAGAATCAAACGAACTATTTTCAATTTGATCAATTTTCTGGAACGTTTACAATCGTTCTATAATCGAACCAATATGCAATAACAAATTCGAATTTAAAACGATTCGAACATTTGGTTAAAAAATCGAAATATATGAAAATATTTATAACAATGTCTGAAATGTTATCAATTTAATACATCTAAGTACTGAATGAAAATTAAACGTAGTTGAAAACAAAAAATCGCATCTAAAATAGTACAGTAGAAGCCGTTCTTCCTGTTAAGACTTAATCCTCTCTCTCTCCCGCCCGCGGGGGAATTTCGAAAAATCCCTTCTTAGTGTGCATTTCCATGGGCGTACGCTACTAAAACGCAGATAAAAACAAAAAATCGCATCTAAAATAGTACAGTAGAAGCCGTTCTTCCTGTTAAGACTTAATCCTCTCTCTCCCCCTCGAGGGAATTTCGAAAAATTCCTTCTTAGGCTAGGTCTCCACTACCGTAAAAACGGCGTAGAAACCCCTCGCCGTAAAAGCTTTTAATCACGTGACTCTGATATCTTACGCTTGAGCAGGCCGTAAAGCCAGCGTAAAAGCGAGTTGAGCTATGTTCAACTTTCGACGCGAATACGGCCGTAAAGAGGTACGTACCTTCCACCAATCAGAAATCAGTGAAATCTAGGTCATCGCGACACGGAGCTAAAGTGGCGGAAAGCGAGCTTTTGTGTACATTCCCTCGTGGCTACTCTAGAATAGATCCGGAAAGATTTATCGAAAACATCCGAAAGTATTCGTGTATCTATGACAAGAGGTAACCTGATTATAATAATGGATACCAAAGGAAATCCTTCAATTTAGAGGAGTATATAATAAAAAAGCTAAGCTTATAAGTGCTGTATATTATCTTAATAATACGATAATAAAAGTTAGTATATGAAAGTAAAGATATTATTTTTACTACATTTGTAATTATAGTACAGAAAAA